AGACAAAATGCTTGTTAAATATGTTATTTGCTTGCTTAAATCACGAGAAGGCTAGAAGTCGTCTGGCATTGATTTCACATTACACTTGGGACTAACGCTTCATAATAATTTTGCTTGTTTTCTTCAAGCTCATCATTTCAATTGCCAGAGACTTTAATTTATTCACTATATGTAAAATCATTATTCTGGCCCTTAACTATAAGTGTCTCTTTTGAATTCTTCCGCGATCGAGTATTAATTTTTTAGGTGGCCACGATGCCAAGACGATTTATCAAGCGATTTAGCACGTTTCTTTTTCACAACATCAAGCAAGGTTCATTCCAGATATACAGCATATATTTTCGCTCATTACTTTATGGTAGGGTATCGAGTATGCTCCAGGCAGTCATTATTTAAATCGGTGATAAGAGCATTGGTGTCAACCTGAACAGATTTATCTCCTGAACTCGACTGGGAACCTTTAGAAGATACCTTTCTTGAAAAGGTTCTAGGCGATTTTTCCAATAGTTCTAATACTGCCTAACCTGCAAGTTAGTTGCATCTCCATCTCGCATTGGTCTCCAAGCACGTATCCTGGAAATATAGATTCATGCAATCATTGGCTTTAAACTTCATTTGGCTTTAGCCAGGAAAAGGCTGTTTGTAAAGATTTTGTACTGGTAGCCTGAGAAAACAGCTGACACATTTCGCTACGCCAGCACTGGTTTCCCGCGAATTGAAGTCTGAGAAACGAGCGCAGAAATTCCATACTGATGACGAGTCACTACCCAGATCTGGGTAGTGCTTCTGATTGGATAAAGCAAATTTTCAACCAATCAGAAGCACTACCCGGATCAGGGTAGTAACACGTCATCAGTATGGATTTCTTCGCTCGTTTGTTAGACGACATTTCGCGGGGAAACCAGTGGAGACGTCGTGAAATGTCGCTTGCTTTCTCAAGCTACTGTACTGGTAGTGACAGCTTGTCTACCTCATTTGCCAAGCGTTCAACGAGGAAACTGGTGATGTCTAACCTGCGAAATGATTCAACGTAAAACCAGTTACATCAGGTCATTTTACACCATATATCGGCTGTACACCACTGCTGATCAAAACTGCTACTTCCTGCTCTCTGAAGAGTAACTGTTACTGAGGGAAAAAGTAAGATATATTTGTCTTATATTGATATTTACTAGTTTGTTTGCTAGTATTGCGTTTCTTACCCTACGAACAATACTTATTAACTCAGCTCAGTACAAACGACTTCATGAGAGTATTTATGGAAATACCTTTTTGTTCGTCGAAGTTCTCTTCTAGAAGTCGCCCTTTTGTTTTGACTTTTTCCCTGAAAACTACATTCCAAGTCCTTTTTTTTCTAGTTATTTTGCTTAAGTGCAATTTGTCTCCTGTCCTCTTTTTCGTTTGCGTATTTCTTTCAACAGTAAAGAGCTTTAAAAAAGTTTGTAAATCTTAGGGGGTTTTAATACTTGAGGATTTCAAGTGAAAGGCCGCCAAAAGTATTTTCTCTCATATTAACATTATTAGATCATTTTTGCTATTTTTAAAATAAGGATGAATGCGGCTAATGTTTGCACTATAGGAAATTTTGTTTTAGATGCATATGCCAGTCCATTCTTTATAATTGTCAAGTTGACTGGTGTTACCAGATATTTACGAAGGCTTTTGATTGACGAAGGGCTTACTGTGATATGAGCCCCCTTTATGATTCTTAAAAAGGCAAAAATCTAAAGTTATTTTTTTATTGAGACATAAAAAGTAAACCCCATGTGTAAACGACAAAAGCCCATGTCTACATGTAATGAAGCCTCCCTTAGTTAACCAACAGAGTGTTGTACATGAATTCAGTAGAACGTGATTTGTGTGATGCATAAATCATATCAGTCGAAAGAGCCGTCATCCGCGGACCGCCTTCTTCTTTTAGACCCGACGTTCAAGTGGCCTCAGTATCAAGCATTTCCTGGGAGAAAGAGGGAAGCGAAAATGGGAGACAGCAAGGGGAGAGACCTCTCTCCGTCACCCCCTCCCTCCTTCTCCCTCTAAAATCTCTTTTCCCTTAAACCCTAACAAAGGCCTGATAGGCTGACGTTAAAGTAAATAAACCCCAGAGTCATTCCTCTTGTGGCATAAGAAGCTTGAGGTACAGGTTTGTAGAGAAAAAGGGAAAAATAAAATCTTCCGTGAAAAACAACTGCAGGGCCAAATAAAGTGCATGGAAACGCGGACTCCAGAACGCCAAGTTTGAGACAATCGTCTTTTGATTGAGAAGGTGACTGTGTTGAAACTGCTTCCACTATCTGAGAAACTGTTTCAGGTGTTCCAGGTATTCAGATAAAAGTTTCAATGACGTTTGCAGTGTCCCCAGTGGGTATACTTCGCCCGTCTAGTTTCCCTTCTGTAAAAGTTTTAGCATCAGAGTTTTAATTTTAGGCTCTTATTAATTATCGGAAGTAAATAAGAAGATAAATAACGATTAAAGGTAATACAGCGACATGGTATTTGTTCGTCTACCAGATTCCTGGTCGAATTGGAATGTGAAAACGTTGCTATTTGAGGAGAAGGGAAATTTGGAGTACCGCCCGTAGTAAAACTTCTCGGAGCAAAGAAAAGATCCAACCGAAAAAATTCAGTCTTATAGAGATTCATATAAAGGGAGTAAAGAAAAGCAGGGACCAACTCTGACTAGGTGTACGTTTTACGGAAGTTTTCGTTTTATAGGGGTGTGCGTTAAGAGAGTCGTGAATCAGGATTTTCATTTGTTTGGAGTTTGTGGTTTGTATAGTTCTCTAGTGTTGTTGTTGTTGTTGTTGTTGTTGTTTTTTGTAAGTATTTGGCAGTTTTTCGTATTCACTATTAAAGGATGAAAAAATTAAACAAAGTTGTTAAATAACAAAAAAACATAGTGGCCCTGAAGAGTGGATTTGAAAAATTAATTTTCGTGAGACGAGAAAAAAAGGATTTTTAATGCTTTGTTCAAAGGATCAAGTTCGAGTCTAAAACATAGCGTAAGATGTGGCAACCCGATCTCGAGTACTTTGCTTGGGTTTATCTGTTCTCGGATGGGTTTCTGTATGGTTTTTGTATTATGTGGTTTCGTGTCGCAAACCTTATCCACCACAGATCGTTACAGATTATATATATGACTATATACACCTTATTCGATGGTTTAGCATATAATACGTGCGGATATTTTGCCAGTGGCAAGATACAAGCAATGAGCAAAATGTCCGCTCGTATTATATGCTAAACCATCGAATAAGAGGTTTATTATTCCACTACAAAAAAAAACTGTTATTTGCAATTGGCCTCTACTTTCTGGTAAGAGTCATTCACTGAACATCCTGATTCCGTCCGTGAGAATGACGTTAATGTTGGCGCGTGATTATTTTACTGCAAAAGAAAAACGTTATTTTGGCTTCTGTTTTCTAGTAAGAGGTATCCAAAATATCCTGATTCTGGCAGCCATAGTTGCTCCTTTTGCATCCGCTGGTATTCGCCCTGTTGTAAACCGGTTAAACCAGGACACTACAGTGTATTACGGCCTCGTATTTTGCGCGTTTTCTTGACCTTATATGGTAAAATGATATAATAGTGGAATAATAATGATAAAAATGGATAGAAACCAGGCTTAAACAAAATCTTAATTCCATTACCCAAGAGCAGTTACGTCAAGTTTCCTTTTACAGTCAAGCCAGGTCAAGCGTACCCTCCAAGATGCTATTAATAAATTTATTATTTGAAAGTTGAATCCGTTGGTAGTTGTAGATTTCATTCTTGTATGCGTTATCACCCGTGAATTCTCACGCGAGGCAGTTATGAAACTTCAACCAGCTCAGTTCCCCTGAATTTGATGAAAATGTCTGCCAAGAAATTTAATCCACTCAAAGATTTTCAATCTGACCAAATACAGAGAAGTTCTCGGAAAATATTCACTGCTCATTACGCATGCAGGAATGTCAATTTGAATTTGACACTAGTTTCGGGAACGACTAACGGATTCATTTTTCAAATAATCAATACATCAATAGAATCTTGGGGGGTACGCTTGACCTGCCTTGAGTGTAAGTCTGTGACGCCCTAATCGCAATATTCATTCCAGGTCTAGAGAGTTAAATCCTTTAATAATTTTTTTTAATCTACTTTTTGTTGTTGTTCTTTCTTAAGAAGGTTTTAAAGGAGACGAACATGTGGTTCTTCTTCCTACTGCTCAGCATCGCAGCTTCCCAAGCTGGTAAAACATAACCTTTAATGGTTGACAGTACTTTTATTTTGTTATTGCTTTATTTTTTTTTTTCTGATTCCCATTAACTTTTTGTATTTACATTTTTGCATCATCACTTAAGCACACCTTGAGAACATTGGTTGATGGATTTTGCGTTCCGGGAATGTATTGCGATACAGGCCTGGTCGTGACCCTACAGACATAACACCTAGGCTGATCTTTCCCCTTTCTAACAACAGTAGAAATGTATGCTTCCGGCTTGGCTACTAAACTCAATATAAGTTTTTAAGGCCTGTTATTTTGTGGCATAACTAGCAATTAAGTTCTAAGGTCATTGGGTGTCTTTGCACCAGAGGATCAAAGTTTGAGACTCTACCGGAAAAAAAAAGTTACCAGAAATATGGTAACACTTTGAACAAGTTAAGTTCGCCTCTATTCAACGACTCACAACGCAGAAAATCCGTCTAGCGCAGAGACAAAAAGAATTAAACGTTTCATTTAACAGCAATTAAACGTTCCATAAACAATTTAGCGTAGAAAAAGGTCGTGTTGTTTCGGCAAGTGTTCATTATGGCCTTACGCTTGAAATGCTAGTACAGTCAACTCTTTTTAAGACGGACACCTTGCGGACCTGCAGTATGTGTCCGTCTAATAGAGAGTCAAATAAAGGAAGTAAAGAAAGGCAGGGACCAACTCTGAGTGTCCGTTTTACAGAGGTGTCTGTCTTATAGAGGTGTCCGTTAAGAGAGAGTAGACTGTATACCTGTGTCAGCTCAGCTCGATGTATAACGGTCGCCCTACTTTTGATTTATCCCTAGCACAATCCAACATAAAAATCAGTGGGACTGGGAAAAGTGTAAATGGTAGGACGTCGCTGAACATAAATGTGGAGATAGTTGGAGGAACGGGACCCACACAGGGCCCCATGACGGCTCCTGCAACTGGCACAGGCAGACCAACGGCCGGCACAGGCGCACCAAAAGCGGGAGGTACCTAACGTCGTTGATTTGAGCCATACAAATAACAGCAAATCATGTAAACCTTAATCATGCCACTAAGTGAGTCATGCTTCTAGGTAAAAACAACAACAACGACAAGCTATATTTGCACGACTATAATAGCCTGTGTGAATCTGCCCTCTCCTATTTAAAATACACAGGGAAGAATTCAAGTACAAATGTTTCATAACTTTCTGGAAGGTTCTGACTTGTAACAACTTGTGTATAAAAGTCCATCGTACCAGACAGAATCAGAATCCAAAGTCCACAAAACATGTGTATACACTTCCGTTTGATAACAACTGACATATAATCTATTAATAAATGTTAATGTTCGATTATCTTCTAAAAATAAACAATTTGAGATTTTTGAATTACGTTAAGCGACTAAAAGTGTTCCAGGAGTCTTTGATTGAAAATTGAACAAACAACATTAACATTTCAGTTATTTCTTCAGTCATTTTCTCTTGCGTGAATTTTGTTGGTACTCTTTCCTTCCCCCGTCCTACGTTATTTGTATTTTAGAATGATTATTAATATTATTATTATTATTATTATTATTATTATTATTATTGTCTCTATGATCACAGTCTTTGCTGGTGTTCTTTTTGTGCATCAGCCGGGCGCAAACCATGCACCTAGAGCGTCAGTCACTCAAGTCAATCATTCTGTTCATACACTGAGCACCTTTCTGAGGATTCGCGCAGATCCCAGCATGCAGATCTTTTGAATCTCTGTCATAGTAGCTCTCTCTGATACTTTCTGTATGTTTTCTACCATACCCTTCTTCACTGTACCAAGCGCACCGACAACCACAGGGATCACTACGGTTTTCATATGCAACATTCTCTGTATTTCTAGTCCTAGGTCTTTGTACTTGCTCCTTTTTTCAGTTTGCTTCAGTGCGATGTTTCTATCTGATGGAACAGTCATATCAATCAGTTTGCAGGTGGAATTCACTGAATCTTTAACGATGATGTCTGGTCTGTTCGCTGTTATAGTTCTATCAGTATTGACCGGCATGTCCCACATGATGGTGATGTTGTTATCTTTATTGTGCATCACGGTCTCTGGCTCGTCTTCGTACCATTTGTCTGTAGTCTCTATATCATGATTATTATTATTATTATTATTATTATTATTATTATTATTATTATTATTATTATTTATTATCATTACTATTATTATTATTATCATTATTATTTTTATATGTCACAGTGGATAAAATGTAGCAATTCAACTAATTCAATGCTGGTCTAAAGGACGACCCCCAAAATTGTCTGCTTTTTATTTTTTTATAACTCTTTTACTTTTTTTTTCTTTTCGCTGTTTTTTCTTTTAAGGGTTCACTGAAGAAGAAAGAGCTGGTTTGGCAAAACATAATGAGTATCGCCAAATACACGAAGCTCCACAAATGATACTCAATAGACAGATGTGTGACCAGGCTAAGGCCTACGCTGTCAGACTTGCTACAATGGGGACACTGCAGCATTCGACTGAGAGCGAGAGAAGAGGACAAGGAGAAAACCTTTCCATGGGATGCTCCACCAGTGGTCCACAGTCGATGGAAGAGGCTGTTACAAACTGGTGAGAACTAAGCCCAGATATTGACCAGCATCAAAATTCTTCTTGTGATATCCATGCTTTATAAAACAGATCGGTGACGAGAATGAAGGGGAAATGATCACACAAGAAGAATCTGGTTGATTCTTCCACAACTTCTCCCAAACCTGCTATAGCAAATATATAAGGAGAACAAATGAATATTCAAATTTGGATTGAAGGGATTTTTTATTAAACGGTTAATCAATTTGAAAGGATGCAAATGCCTCATTGAATTCGACTTCTCTGCCATCCAAGTCCCATTAGCTTCCTCGTCCTTCTTCCTCAACTTCCCTTTTTCCATCTTTCTATTTTACTGAGGATCTCAATGGGGTTAACCGTCAGCCTTCAAACACCCTAAAATTTAAACGTCAACCGTAGAAAGGTATTCCAAATCTCCCTATTTCAGCTGATCTTCACGGAATTCTGGCTTCTGAAGAATCCGCTCTAAACTTGAAAAACAAATTCCTATGTTCTCAAACATTTTAAAAAAACAGATCGTGGTTATATTTTGAAATTTTATAAGTGAAAGCCCATAAATGACTCAAAATTGGAAAAAATAACCGTCAAAGTTACTGCGCCTTTGAGACCAATATGTCTAGACATTGGAAACTTCCGGGAAGTGACCAACTTTTTCTCCTTGAGAAAATATAAAAATTGAGGAAATTCGGTTAGGCATAAATTCCCTTAATTGTTCTGACTAACATTGCACCACAAACGTACTTGTCGATGAGCCAGTCTACAGTGTGAACTAAGCAAAGCCCTGCACCTTGTTGTCTCTGTCATATTTGGATTTCTCTTTCTTTTAATTTTTTAATGTGTTTTAGGTACAACGAAGTTTGTGATCCTGGCTATAATTTCGCTAGCGGAGGATTTTCAGGAGGCACGGGTCACTTCACCCAAGTAGTGTGGAAAGGAAGCACTGAGCTTGGCATTGGAAGAGCAGAATCTCAACAAGGATCAATGAAATGTGCCTATATTGTGGGCAGATACAAACCAGCTGGAAACATGATGGGTGACTTTCCAGAAAATGTAAAAAAGGGAAGTTTCCGCAGAAGTCAGTGTCATTCTAATTCTAATCCAGGCTGGCCATGGAGAAAATTCGTCGATCAAAATGGGAAAGGGCCCATTAACAAAAATCGTGTTACAAAGGTCGATGTTCCAGAATATCATTTTAATGTGCAGTCAGCCCACAAGATTCAACTACTGAAGAAGAAAACGTTTTAGATCCTTCTAGTGGTGTAACTCATAGTTGGAGATTGATATTATGGTCTTAATTAAAAGCTCCCGTCCTTAATAAACGCTTCACCACAGTCTAAAAGGGTCGGTAGGCTCATTTTGTTATGGGCCAAATTAATTTCAAAAAACTCATCATCATTTATTAGGGAGCTTAAGCAGCGACGTTTTTGAGCGACGCACGTCAACCGGAAGTGAACATTTTGCACTCTTGAGCCGTGATTTTGAACAAATTTCTGGGCAGATCGTCTCTATAAGAATTAAGACCCTTGGCAATATAAATACGGTAGCGTCAAGGCTTACTAAAAGAGAAAAAGGCTAACTTCCGGTTGACGTCCGTCGCGCAAAAACGTCGCTGCTTAAGCTCCCTAATAGCATCATCAACATTATGATCATGACCATCATCATCACCATCATCGTCGAATCAAAAATATTTGTGGGGCCTTTTTATATGCATGATATAGATTCTGATTTTAGACCATTGACGCATCTATTATAATTACTCTGATAGGCCTCCCTCCCCTTGCTTTTAAATTGCAACCATCATTGATGAGGGTGACTTGACTTGATTGGTCTGTACGGGGGGTCTTAATCGTATTTAAAGCTGGAGAGCCTGGGTCATTCACTTTATTCCAGTTCATAACTGGTATTGCTGAAAAACTCAGTAAAGGATGATAAAATCAGTATCCATGAAAGTGAATGGTCAGAAATTGCCACTAGAATCTCTTCGTTCGAAGCAACAACCGCTTTACATTTTTCATCTCTAACTTTGGCTGCTATAACGAATGCCAGCACAGCAACCCCATGGTCAAAGAGATTTGCAAAAACTTTTCTGTGTGCTGAAGTCTAGGCGTGTTTCCCACCTCTTCCACATTGCGAATTTGCATTTGGTTTGCGCGCTGTTGGATTAGCGGTTGCTGAGGCTAGAAACTGAAAAACAAAGAACATGTTTTATATGTGTCCAATAGAGATGGGTGAGATGGGTGTCCCTCAGTACATAATCATTGTTTAGACTGTGTTACTGGTCGTTCTCTCACCACACCAAATTCTATAGTTTTACGTTAATACACAAGATTTCCACCGGGATAGTTTGTATAAATGGTAAGCACCCCAGGAGTATATTATCTATTTAGGTTACAACATTGGATAAATTTAGTATCAAAACCATTTACATGTAACTAGTTTGACAGAGAAGAAGGATACTTGCTACGTGAGGATCCAAAAACTATTAAGGGCTTGTTTTGATGATGAAAGAAGGCAATTGACCTTTGCACTCACCAAGAAACATGTGTGATGAAGTTAGCCTTTTTTAGATATTACCTGAGTAAATTAATCTCCCGAACTTTTAGAAGATACTCTTCTTAAAGAGGCTACAGGCGATTTTTCAAAAGATTCCAATACTTCCTAACCTGTAAGTTAGTTGCTTCCTCAAAACGGTGACGCATTTGTTACAATGCGCGGCGCGTATGCTGGAAATATCATTTCATGCACCAGTGATTTCTACGCTCCATTAGACGTTATCCAGGAAAAGGCTGTTTGAGTCTGTGTACTGGTAGCGAGGGGTTATTATCCTCGTTTACTAACCGTTTGACGTAGAAACTGGTGACATGTCAAACCTGCGAAATGTATCAACGTGATACCAGTTATATCAGAGCATTTTACTCAATATATCGGTGATCAAAGAGCTAGTAATATCACGAAACACCACTACAGCAGTTGCTACTGAGAAAACAAGTAAGATATATTTGTTGTATTGACATTTACTAGTTTTTTTTTTCCGTTTCTTCTCCTGCGAACAATACTTTCTAACTCAGCTTAGTAGAGATGACCTCACGAGAGGAGCTGTGGAATTGCCACCATGGGTTCTCTTCTAGAAGTCGCTCTTATATTCGACTTTTTCCCTTCAATATAACAGCCCAATTCCTGTTTGCTAGTTACTTTGCTTACGCGCAATTTGTAGTCTGTCTGTTTGCTCGTTTGTGACTATTTCTTTCAACATTAACGAGTAAAGATAGATCTTAGAAGTATATATGACTGAGGATTACAATTGGAAGGCCGACAAGAATATTTTCACTTATATCAATAATATTAACGCATATTTGCTGTGTTTTAAATAAGAATGAATGCGTTCAAAGGAAATTTTGTTTTAAATGCATATCCCAGTCCACAATTTTGTTACAATTAGCACGCTTGATGGAGTTAGAAGATTTTAAAAAGGATCAGCTGGACGTAGGGCTTAATGTGAATTGACATGTACCCTAGATTCTTTTTTCTTAAAAATGTTTAAATGTAAAGTTTATTTTTTTAGAAAAGCGTACGCTTCACTTTAGCTACAAAATTTGAGTGGTGTTGCGTAGTCTTACCGACTACCCACTGTCAGCCTTACAATTACATTAGTCTATTTACAAATAAAGCAAATCTTATTTTTACATGCAAAAAGCCCATTTATACATGCCATGAAGCCTCCCTTAGTTAACCAACAGAATCAATGTTGTATATAAATTCAGTTACATGTGATTTGTGTGATGCATGAATTAAATTTGTAGAACGGCCATCACCCTCGCACAACCTTCATCGTTTAGACCTGACCTTAACCACCTGGTCTAGAAGAGGGCGTTCAAGTAGCCCGAGTAACAGGTTTTCAATGAGGAGAAAGAGAGAAGCGATAAGGGGAGACAATGCCGTCTTCCTCTCTGCCGTCTAAAATCTCCTCTCCCTTAACCCTTAAGGAAAGCCAGATACTTAGGCTAACGTTCAAATAAATAAATCACAGAGTCATTCCTTTATGGCATAAGAAGCCTGAGGTATAGGAGCGTAAAGAAATACTTTCTTGAAAAATAACAGGCCCTAATGAAGTGCATGCGTATTCATACGCCGAGGCCACAAAGCCAAGTTTGAGAAAATTGCCTTTTGATTGAGAAAGTTTCTGTGTAGAAACTACCTGCTCAGCAACTCATTCAGGAGTTCCAGGTGTTGAGATAATGGTATCGATGACGTATGCAGTGCCTCCAGCAGGTACTTTAAGAGGCTAATAACGATTTTACGGTAGCACGTCCACTAAGTGGTTATTCGTCTACTTGATTGGAATTTGGAAATTTGTTATTTGAGGAGAGGGGAAAAAACGGAGTAGCCGGAAAAAAAACATTTCGGGGCAAAGGAGAGAACCAACAAAATACTCATTAGCCCAAGAAATTGATTAACTCAAGTTATTCACAGTCCGAATACGATTACAGTTTCCACAGAAACACTAATTAAGACTATTCTAAAGCCCGGGAGGTGTACTCCCTTTTATTATATAGCTGAGTCTGTTTTCGCCATGCGATTGGTCAATTTGCGGTCCGTAACTTGCTATACGGACCAAAATTTTGAAAGAAGATGCTCATTTCGGAGCTATAAATCTCTTTTCCTCGGAAAAAAGGTTTAAATAAAGTTGCAAGACGCCTGTTAACCTTTAGGACTTGGATGTTGATTTTGGCCTTCAACATTTTAAACTGTGTTTATTTGTGAACAAAGGCGATGAAGAAACTAACTCGTAATCTTATCGAAGAGGATTCTAGTCAGTGTTTGAAAATTTTATCGTAGTACACAGTTAAGAAGACGAAAATCGACTGACAGAGATTCGAGATGTTTTGCCTAAGAGAAAATGAGTAATTCCTTCGACAAATACGGTAACAAACATACCTGCACCCGATCATCTCGACAAGCTTCTTTGCCATTTGCAGTGTTTTTTCAAAGACCAACGAAAGAAAGATAGAGGCGAGTTCGAGTCAGACACAATGTTCAGTTTTCAAAAGACTCCAGCGTCACATTAACGAGTGAATACTTACAGTGCTCTAAGTTTTGACCGAATAAACTTTAAAATATGTCTGTAAACCCTGAGGACTGGGATGTTGACTTTGCCTTTCCAAATTTTAACCTGTAGCTTTGTTTTAATGAGAACGAAGCTGATGTAGAAACTGAATCGTAACCTTACCGAGCAAGAGAATTCTAGTCAGTGTTTGAAAATTTTAACGCAGATCACAATTAAAGACGAAAATGAACTGGCACAAAGAGAGGTTTTCCCTAAAACAATTAACGAGCGAATCCTTCGACAATGACAACAAACTTACCTTGAAAAGCTTCTTTGCCTTTTGCAGTGTTTTTTTTTTTTACAAGGACAAAGTAAGGAAAGATGGAAAAGACTTTAGACAGACACAGTGTCCGGTTTCCAAAATACTCCAGCGTTACATTAAAGAGCAAAAACTTACAGTGCTCTTAGTTTTAACCGAATAAACTTTTTCACTGACATGGCGAATTTGTTTTTACTTTCTCGGAAAGCCTTTGTTATGTGCTATTGTTTTCGTGCGCCAACAAAAACTTTCTTTTTTGACGCCTGTCAAATGGCTGTTAAATCGTGCGCCCTGCACTTGTTTCCGGTCCCACAAACAGGAAGAAGCCAAATAATAAACATCTTATTAGCCTCGCTTTTTCGATCCGTACTGTAAATTATGGATCCTCGTTTTTTTCCATCGATTTATGGCCCAAGCGTTCGCGCTTGGGCCATAAATCGATGGAAAAAACTCGGTCCGTAATTTAAAGTACGGACCGAAAACTCGGCTAATAAGAGGTATCTATGACTTTTACGGGGATGTTCCCAGCTAAACAAGGTATCATGGTTTTTATCCTCTCTGTCCTAAAGAGGATATATATTTGCGTGCAAGTCTGTCCTAATTATAAACAGGGCACTGCTGGCACGATTGATTTGATTTGCTTGATGAAATTTGTTTGTACTCCAAGTATACAAATGCAATGACTATAATGTCAATTTGCTCTACTGCAATTGCCTATAAATGGCTTTAAAACAAGACAGCGTGCATTTTCCCCTTTTCCCTAAACAGAATGATAAAATTGAGCGTGCTCTACTGAACAGGGAAGGTATTTTTTAGTTTCAATCCCTCAGCGGCTCACCTATACCAATATTGGTCGATCACCCCTCTCCCTGGTAGTGACGGGTATTTCCGTGACTCGTGATCGGCTCTTTTTTCTTTGATTCCCATAGTGGTCCTAAACCGTGATAAATAAAATAATTAATGCTTAATTCAAAAGATCAAGTTGGGGTTCAAAAGATGACGTAACATGTGGCCGAACGTAAACCCG